AACTCAACATAAAGAACCCAGACAAAACCTTGTCAGAGGTAGAGGGTAAAACTGAGGCTAGGAGAGTGTGCTCAATGTAAATGAAGTTTAATGAAATAAAAAAAATCAGAATGTTTTTTTTAAAAAAAAAAAAAAAAAAAAAAAAAAGCTCTGCACACTAGTGAGATGTGTTACGATACTGGCCAATTCCGAAGTGCAAATACACAAGGAAATGCAATGCCATCCGATTGGGAAAAAGAAAGGAATGAACTTGAGAGGAGAGCAAGACAAAGGAAGAAGAAGAAGAAGAAGAAGAAGAAGAAGAAGTGCCCACTTCGACCATGTGCCAAATCCATGACTTGTGAATGCCCTCCCTCACTTACTTTTCCTATGTCCGTGAAGTCAATGGAAACTGACTCACCAGGTCCAAGAGGAAGAAGAAGAAGAACTTGAGAGGAGAGCAAGACAAAGGAAGAAGAAGAAAGAAGGTGTACACCAGCAAAAGAGCAATGACCAATCACCCTTCTCTCCGCCAAGAAACCTCCTTCTCCTTATCTCCACCTCTCTTATTCAACAATAATAATAATAGCAATGGATGGCTGAGCCAGAACCAATGTACAAATCCCTCTCCTAGTGCCAGCACAATATGAAGCCCACCATAGCCATGAAGCCCATCTTCCTCCTCCTCCTGCAAGTACTGGATATGGCGGACATCAGGGACCAACCCCTGATGTTCAAAACACAACGCAAAAACAGCTATGTCCACCACACCTCAGGACGCCATGCCTGACCCTGCGTCAAAGCCTTCTTGTAGCAGTGCACCCTAACTAGGGCCTTCCAGCAGCAGCGCCAACCAAGAAGATGAAGATGCCGACCACCATAGCCAGGTAAGTACCTCGCCACTCTCCTCCTTCGCCACCTTCTTCCTCCTCCTACCAGCGATGCTCCACCATAGCCAAGGTGAGAGCTCCTGGTCTTCTTCCTCCTTCCTCGCGCAGAGTCGCGCTGAACACCTAGTGTCCCTTCACCTAGCGGCACTCCGAGAACCAGTGCCCGCTCAAGCAGCATGACGCCCAAACATGCATACCGCAAATGAGGCTGAGCCTCTCGCACTGCCTCCAGATATACTGAGGCACTTGACTCTTGGGCGGTGACTTCCTGGCCGCTCGGCCTCCCAAGCAACCGGTTCCCTCCTCCTTTCGGAGGGAAACATCATTGCAGGTCTGATATCGTCCGCACAGGCCGTAGACTCAGGCTACTTGGACTGGTACCCGCCTACCTAGGCCTACTGGTTCCTCAGCCTCTAAAAATCCTAACTTTTGTCTTCTTCTGCTAGGCCTACTGCTCCTTGAGTGCTCCTGGCCTAGCCTACCCACTACTTGAGTGGCCCTAAGCTACCCCTCCAACCACTTGATTGTTTTCCCCGCTGCAACCCTCGAAGTCACGGCCACAGGTAAGTACCAGCCTGTGGGCCTCTCAAACACACAAGTGCCCTGGTGGGCCACACACACACTCAGGGAGATGTGCACGCAGGCAGGCTGTTACATGCCCAGATGGGCGATGTACATAATAACCGAGGATCCGCAATGTGATAAAAAGGACTGAATGGACAATGCTGTGCAAGTGGAATCTCAACTAGCAATGTGCATTCCGATACATACAAAATGGTGACGAATAGCGCAGGGAAGATTTAGATACAAGACCTGACCTGACCGAGACTGACCTTTATCACATAGTACAAGATAGCGAAGCAGAATGCTAGAATACGGATGACTAACCCAATCAATGTTTCATCGTAGACCAAACATACATCATGCTCATCACAAGGTGTGAAGGAGCCTGGCGCTGTACACAGGAAGGAAGCGCCAGGTCCAGACATACACAGACGAAGAGGAGGGGATCAGACGAAGAGAGGGTGAGATGGGAATGTCGTCAACACCAAGTCTTTGTCACAAATCCCAAATGTTGCAATGTCTGAATCCCAAAAGTCGAGTCTGGATCCAATGTCACCAATCTCTCTCTCTCTTCTCTCGTAGTCTGCTGATGCAGTGAAGTCAGATGATGAGAGGGTGAGAGGGAGATGGTGAACTGAGAAGAGGAAGAAGAAGAACTCTCTCTCTCTGTTACGAGCCAGGTACTAACCTGCGCTGTGCTGCAGGTACCTCGAAGACGAAGCTGGAGCAACGGAGCTGCAGGTAAGTACCTCTGGTGTGGCATACTGGGTAGCCACACGGGCCCTGTAGGACCCGTCCCGGACATTCAGCCTAAAAGCCTAAAACTTAGGATCTACAGGCCCCGGTCGTTCAGCCTGAAAACTGAAAAACGAGGGTCTGCAGGCCCTACTCCGTTTCAGCCTATTTCTGGGTCTTTCAGACCCAGAGTTTTTCCAGCCTGAAACGGAGGGCTATTCTTAGGCCCTGGGCTATTTTTAGGCCCTCATTTGTTTCGACCTGCCCTAAGATTCAGGCACGAAAAC